CTCTCTCTCTCTCTCTCTCTCTCTCTCTCTCTCTCTCTCTCTCTCTCTCTCTCTCTCTCTCTCTCTCTCTCTCTCTCTCTCCGTTTCTTCTCAATGGATCCAAGAGTTGAGATAACACCACCTGAACTCCTTTCCTTCTTTTCCCTCCTATCGACCGTTCTTCTGCTTGTCGCAACTCCTAACTCCTACATCAGGAAATCAATACTGGAGCCAGAAGCCTGGGTCTGATGGGAAAGCATGACAATCTCATACACCCAAAGAGATTGATCAAGACCCTCTTGGGAATCACTGCCACTCCTCTCCGTTTTGTTCCACACCTTTTCGGTTCCCAAGGGAAAGCACGTGGACGTGTCTTGAAAGATGGCCAGCTGACGCGCACTCTGTCAGGTAGCAGGGCCATCCTGTTGTCCACCAGTTGGGGGTGCCGATATCCTCCATGCTTCCCTCGCCGATGCTGCTTTCATTTCCTCCGTGACTGTTATTGCCCCCTGATCACCCCCCCCCAAGCCGGCCGCTGCTCCCACTCCCCCTCCTCCGCCCATCCCGCTGGATTGCGATGCTGTGTAAGTTGGACCGGCTGCTGCGGGGCGTGTGTCAGCTCCAATCCCTCCCGCCGTCGTCGATTCACTTTCGTATGGGACAGGACGAACCCTCCCTGCAGCAGGGGGAACATTCGGATCCTGTACATCGTCCCATCCGATTTCCTGCTCCAGAGCGTTCTTGAACTCGTTGGACACCTGGCGCAACTCCTGAATGGTCGGCTGGAAAGATCGTAGAGTTTTCCCCAAGTTCCTTGCCACCTCAGCAAGCCCCTTGGGACCAAATACCAGCAAAGCGACAACGCCAATGACCAAAGCCTCTGGCGCTCCCACACCGAACACCGACGCTTGCACACTCAGCGCAAAACCACCACCCTGCCCTCTGTCCCCTCTCCTCCCCGTCCTCCTCCTTGCCACTCTTCTCGCTGCGTCTTCGACCACCTTCGTTAACTTAACTAATTGTGCCCATGAAGAACCGAAAGAAGACAACGATGAAGCTCCTAGATGAGTTTGGCCAATCCACGAGGAAATCGCGTACACAGCACAAAACCTCAAACCATTGTCAGATCTAACACCAGCTCCTGCTCTGTTTCTCTCTGATAAACGACCGGACCACGCTGCTTCCCGCATGTGCGTGCCGCACTTCCCCCTTCTCAAATCTTCCTTCCCCGAGGATACATGGCGGAACAAGATACTATGCCGCGTCCCACCACCAGACGAACTCCCGCTGACATCACTCTTCACCCCAGCAAGGGATGCATGAGTCAGCACGTGCTGCTGCAGCGTGACCTGGCACGTCCGTGCCGTGGCAGCCATCGCAGATGAGATGGCCCCCACCGAGGTCACCATATCCCCGTCCTCAAAAGAATGCAAGAAGAAAGGTGATAGCCGACTCACTCCTTGGAGAACTCCGACAATTGCCACAAGTCAATCCGTGGCCTGCTGAATTGCGTTGACTAGTCGTGGAGTGAATCTATCCTCACTCTCTCCGTATTACCCGCTTGGGCCTGGTCTGACCTGTCACGGTATGCCTTGGATATGGACAACGCTGAACTGAGCGCTTCCCTAGGACCTTTTTTTCCTTTCAGTAGAACTTTTTCGACTGAGCTCTGGGCATGGTTGAAGTCAGAGACATCCAGGCGTGCCGCAATTGTAGTCAGGTACAGAAAGTGCTCCGTAGGGTGAGTATGCTGTGCGGGCGATGGTCACTTCATCCTGCAACCAGACGACCATGAATACACAGAGCAGAACAAGTTTCAAAATGACTTTCCTAGCCTCATCTGCAATCAGACTCGTTTTCAAACACACTTTTCACACATGTAAACAGTAACGCAGCACACTGGCGACATGCGCCCACTCAAAACTCAGAGATATGG